TATATATATGTATATGTATATGTATATGTATATGTATATGTATATGTATATGTATATGTATATGTACATGTACATGTACATGTACATGTATATGTATGTATGTATGTATATATATATATATATTGTTATCTATATATATAATCTATTTTGTTATTTTTCAGACTGCAAAGACCAATATGTGGTGTGTAAATACTGGATGAAGGGTGGATATTGTAAAAAGGCGTTTCCTTACATGTATTTGTTCTGTCCAAAATCTTGCAATTTCTGTGGTAAGCATTAAGCAGTAGTATTGCGTCTTTCTGGATTAAACTATACTAAGTTAAGCCTCTTTTCAATTCATCGCAAGGGGTCTACCATTTTTGGCTATACTATCTGACTATATTTTAATACACTGGATAGCTTTATCAGTTTTAAACAAATTCCCTAGAGGTCCAATAAGGGTAATCGCTTATTGATCCAGTGTTACTGCAGAAATAAACCCAAACTAAACTTATAATCTTTATTTATACTGGATAGTTCTGTCAGTTCTAAACAGTTAATTCTAGAAATCCAGTAAAGGGTCATCTCTTGTTGATCCAGTGTTACTGCAGAAAGAAACCTAGACTAAACTAACTTTGTTTTTACTTGATAGCTCTATCAGTCCTAAACTGTTTTCCCTATAAAAGGTCCAGTAAGGGTCATACCTTATTGATCCAGTGTTACTGCAGGAGGAAACCTAAACTAAACCACCTGTATCTACACTGGATTAGCTCTTTCAGTTTCAACTGTTCTTCACTGTTCGAAGTCCATCGATGTTCATGAGTATTTTGGGTTCCATATTATCTCCAGGAATAAACAAGAGATACCTGTGGTTCAAACCGGAATCACTCTTCTTACGTGAGACTTGAGGCGAATTAGAATGAGACAATTGCATATATAGCAGGAATCAGACTCCAATCACAGCTTGCCAACATGGACTGACGATTGTACCATGTCTATAAATTCAGGTTGTCAAGATGACCCCGTGTGGAACTGTAAAAGATGGTCATTGAAAGAATGTAAAAAGAACCCAATATGGATGGAAGTATATTGCCCCGTGACCTGTCAAGCTTGCGGTGAGTAAAACCATCGGTTGTTACATAGACTATCGAAGGGAAGATGGCTGTGAAACTCATTAGAATTTAACAATATAAGTCATTTTCTATGTTAGTCAACGTTTATTCATAAACCTGGTCCTTTCACCGTCACGTGTGTATTGTATTTTTACCAAATCCACCAATAGCAATTTCCAGTTTCCCTATTGTTCGAGTCACGGATAGGTGCATGACTTTCCTAAAACATTCCTACACACATGACGGTGAAGAACCAGATTTATGAATAAACGTTGACCAACATAGATAATGAGTTATATTGTTATTCTAATGAGTTTCACAGCCATCTTCCCTTCGATATAGGCTATGGTAAAACACATGTGACTTATAACATAGTCTGTCAAGATATGATGGTCTGGAAGCCTGAAAAACTTCAAAGCCACAAAATAGAAGACCTGTGTTTGATGTTGAACTGTAGGTCGCCTTGCGCAAAACATTTGCCTCAACTTAGTTAAATATTATTCATCGTGGTTGCACGTTTCATCTCAGCTCTCCCTATTGGACGATTACTTCATTATACGAAAACACAATGAGCTCAAATTACCATAAACTCAGACAAAAACCTTACACAATGACTTCTGTTCAGTTTCCAGATCATTATATCTTGATATACTATGCTTGTATGAAATGGGCAGTTGTCCAACGTGCATGTTGATATACAATCAGTTACAAAAGTTCTTGAACAATCTCGCAATATATAACCAGGTCTACATAACATCAACAAACTCCCCCCCCCCCTGTACCCGTTTAATTAATCAATTTTGGGGAAATGTAATAGGGAAAATAGGTCAACTAGCTAGCTAATTGCCTTAATCAAAAAGTGAATTCGATAAGGGCTTAGAGGCACACACATACCCCTCTTCCATCCATCCATCCATCCATCCATCCATCCATCCATCCATCCATGCAATTTATTTTATTTTATCTCTCCTATATAGGTTGTTATGATAAGAATATCTGGTGTCATTATTGGCAACGTTTGGGACAATGTGAAAAAAATCCTGGCTATATGAAACTTTACTGCCGTAAAGCTTGCAAACTTTGCACGTGAATGACGAGTTTGTTATGGATATCACACTACATCACCATCAACATCATCCCTGACAGGTAAGACATGCTCATCTATCGTCAGTCAATTTCAAGTTTTTCTAACGGACCGCGTTGTCGCTAATCAAGCTTTAATAAACAAATGTTTTGTAAAATAAATAAAGCCTTCATGGTTTTAATAAACCAAAAACGTAAATTTAACTCAAGTAAATAATAAATAAAAAATTAAATGAAACAAAAGGTAAAGCAAATAAATTTAAGGGGACGTGACTGTAACTGTTAATATATATACATATTTGAATTATGCAAGTTTGTAATATTTTAAAGAAAATTGCAGTTGTAAAAGCTATTAAATGAATCGAATTTTGATAAAATAAATAATAAAATAAACAGTTTCATAAATGTGGTATATAAATTAATGTGATATTATAAATCGGTTGATATTAATAATTTGATATTAATAATAAATTGATATTTATAATTCGCTGGCTAAGTCGTCATGCAGAGCAAGCGTGTTTTTCGCTACCTCTTAGATCGCGTGGTTTCATTTCTCACTGTGTCTGTAGACTCAATTAAGACGCTGAAGAGTCAGTCTACAGTTAATAGAATACATGGTTTGGAGACTCGATGAAAGTACAATATAACTCATTAACTATGTTGGTTTCGGTTTATGCAAGAATTTGGGCCTATTTCGTCACGTGTGTATTGTATTTTTCCCGCACAACCAATAGCAATGTTTAAATTGAGCATTTGTTCAAGTTACGGATGGATAACTCAACCACAAACTTGTTATTGGTTATTTGAGCGATAATACAATACACACGTGACGAGATAGGACCAAATTCTTGCATAAAGCTGGACAATAACATTGTTAATGAGTTATATTGTACTTTCATCGAGCCTCCAAACCATCTATTAAAATAACTGTGGTCAGTCAGACGCCAAGTCAGCGATTCTCCTGATAAACCTGTAATTTCCTGTCTTTTAAATTGAAAGGCAGTCTTAAAAATCGAAAATTATTTCATTCTTTCGTTCATTCTGAAAGAAGGGAAAGTCTTTTAATTTAAAAGGCTAATAATTGCTAAGGAGTTTTTGTGTGAAGCTTTGTGTTATAAACTGTAGGTGTTCTGGTTGTCGGCATTAAAAGACGGCGAACTTTGTCCTTTCCGCGTTTTATCCCCGAATTCCGCTATTCCGTTTCCGCAATTCCGGATCCGTGTTTTATCCCAAGCATTTCGTGTATACGGATCTTGCTTTCTGTTTGCTGCCTAAAACAGGACAAGACATGATTAGATTCCCAGAGATCTAACTGAAGGATATGTCACTTAGAATATCTCGTACACATCGAAGAAAACCCTGAAAATCTTTTTTAAAAATTCCTGAAGAATCTTTATGAAATTCCTAAAAAATCTTTATGAAATCCCTAAAAATCTCTGCCAATACTAACCGATCCTAAAATTTCCCAAACATGTCCTACTCTTTTATGGAGTGATACACCCTAGGATCTGAAGCCGAACTAATATGAAATGATTATGACTCTGCATGTTTGATACTTAATTGTAAATATATTTACTAGCAATGAAAAACACGAATCATTACAAATTTAGTAACAAATCCAAAATGTATATATAGGATTAATTCCACTTAAGTATTTTCATTACAAAAGGACGTTTACGAATTATTCTAATTAGTTATACTTTTAACTATATTGCACCTATAGCCCATAGTTCAATAATTCAGTATTTTGCAAATTTAAATGTGTTTAGTTGAATTATTTGTTATAGCTTTTCAGGCACTGTTTATAGGTATTTTTAAAGGAAAACCTAAACCTTTTGTTCCTTTCCGCGAGCTGGTCAAAATTTAGAATAGGATTTGATGGTTGTCACATGTGGAACAAATGCACTGAAAATATTTCACCATGGGAGTTATAGGCATTTACGCTAAGCAAATATAAAATAAAGTTAGCCTACAATTAGTTATTGGCAAAATTCTTCTTGATATGTGCAAATCTAGTTATTATCAAATCTAGTCAAGGCTGGTTTAGGTGAAATTAACATCGATAGTATAGCATTAAACATACTTCATGCATGCCATCTATATTTATGCTATTTAAATCATAATAAGTAAAAATCGCACAACTTGTCAACAAGATGTGTTGAGTGTTCGCAATAGACTTGTAACAAGTTTTGTAACAAGCTTGCATGTCAACAATTAAGTTGTAACAACGCTGTTATTTTATCGAGTTGCTACAAGTTTGTCAGTGCAGGACGATGACAACTTGTTGGAATAACTTGTAACAAGTTTGTGGAGCTCGACAACCTTGTATGAACTTGTCATATACAAGCCGTTGGCAACTTGTCGTGAAGCTGGGAACAGGCAGTACCGAAACACATCCCGTTTACCATATAGCATTGTTACAAGTCTGCTGCTGTTTCTTACCACTTGTGCGTTTTTATACGTGTGTGTATTCCGATACAGGAAACGTAATACGAATTGTAAAGTTATTATTCATTTGTTCGGACGGGTTTCTTTTGTCATTGCAGTTAAGAGACATCTATAAAATATTCCTTCAACTCATTTCTTGTTTTCTCATTTAAACAAATGTTCAATTGCGCAAAACACTCGAAAAAGGCACGCCCCCAGAGACGGTACACTCTAAAAACACTGGTAAAACAATTCAACCCTATAACCTGGTTAAATTAAGCTAATTCTTGTATCCTGGTTGCCAGAGGTTCTCGCATAGAATTCTTGTTAAGTTAGCCAGAACTATGATCAAATTAACCATTAATTTAACCAGTAACATTAAGGGCCTGTTCATATGGGCAAAAGTTATCCCGGTTAGGAGAAAACTTTTCGACTAGCCAAATACTTTTGTTCTGATCACATGGAGAAACTTTATTCCGCTTACCGGGTAAAGTTTCCGACTGTGACGTAGCACTGAACAAGAATTGAATTGAAAAGTTGCTGACACGACCGAAAGTTATCCCGGTAAGCGGGAAAGTTGTGTTCATTTGGGAAAACCATTATCCCGGTCACCGAGATCTCGCCTGTCAACAAGCGAGATCTCGGTACACTGGAAAACTTTTTGTCTCAAATATAAAGCAGTGTAACTTTTTATATTTTCATACCAAGGCGAGATGACAAGCCTGAAGTCACTCCAAATAGTGTTGTTTTTAGATTAACCTGGACATTTTTAACCACAGCGTATTTTTGAGTGTAGTCAGTCCATATAAACGGGGTGCTAAATTCGAAAATTATGGGTTGTTATTCTTTCGGTCTTAAATGTAGTATTGTTGGTCTGCAATCAATCTCTTGAGATTTCCAAAGGCATTGTTAATGTTAGTTCAACCTAATCCATCATAATAAGCTATCTGCGATTTATTTCCTACAACAGAGCCAGAGTTCACTACAATAATTCCCCTTATTATTTATGTGCTTATTCCCCTGGTTATATATGCTTAAGATTATATTCTAAGAAGTATACTTATAATATAAAGAAGAAAAAAAATATGAAGCTCAAATGTGAGTCCGGATCTAAATAAATAAAAAGAAGAATATTTGTATCCACGCAGATAAAATACCATATAATTAATTAAAAGATTAAAAGAAAATACAGTCAATATGATGTGATTACCCGAATGGACCTCAGCCTAACAATAATTAACCGTTCCATGTTTGGTATACCGATATAGGCTACATATACCGCCACAAATATCGGTACATTTACCGAAATTTCTGATGATATGCTCTGAAATTCGTCCAAAAGACGGGTATAATGATAATACCGGTATAATTATTTCCGTATACAGCTAGGTACCGGAAATTTATCAAACCGAACATCCCTATATCTAGACTTGCCACAATATTACTTCTTTAGACCCCTCAGTTCCGTTTCCCCCTTCTTCTTTTTTCCCCTCCTAGACCCTCAAAAAGAAAACGGACTTTGCGAAAGTCTATATGGAGCCCTGTGGTTGGGATTTTTTTCTGAGCGTTGACAGCTATTTCAAGGAAAACAAACAAAATACTTACAATAAAATGAGTAAATGGACGAATCGCCAACATATCTTGCTTAATAGATATTCAACAATCACGATGTATGAAATGAAAGTCTTGTAAACATGATGCTTATAGGTGTCCATCTTTATTATCCAGTACATTTTCTTGAATTTTGCAGTTGCTGTCCCTCAAGTATGAGAGCAAAGCTCTCACGACAGATTGGGCAACGTACCCTGTTGGGAAAAAAACAGAAAGCGTTATTGCGTTTCTGAACGTTTCTGAACGTTTCGGTTTTAGGTGATGCAGAGAATATGCATGTGATATATTAAATATACACCCTAACAACCGGAGTGAGAGAGTTTCGGCACGATATTTTACAAATGTAGCTTATGTAAATCAAATATTTCATAATGCGTCAGTACAATTACGTGCGAAAGAGTTTATAATGTGTTCTACACCTACATGATCTAATTGTGTACGGCAGATTTTACGTGTGTTCACACTACGTCGTTACAGTTCGCTTACAAATTAAATTAGCACTCATGTGAACCGAAATAGAGCAAAGAAGCTTAAACGAAAAGCATTCCAATTTATTATTATTATTATTATTTGGTGTTTAATGACACATTTTCGCATAAACAATGAATTACAATGTGTTTACATTCAAAGTCAAATTTAGTTTAAAGATATTTACATGGTCATAAAGTTTAAGGTAAAATAGGTTAAGAATATTATTAATAGTTAAGTTAAGAATATTAAGTTAAGAAAGTTGTTAAAATATAAATTGTTCAACCATTTAGTCTAAGGTAGATTCCTTCCTCTATTTCATGGCATTCAGTTCAACAATTGCTCTTGGAAAGAAACTGTTTTTAAAACGTTCAGTTCTGCACTTGTACAATGACAGATTATTTAAGTTTCTAATATAATATTGTTGAGCACAAGCTCTAGATTGTGTCACGTGTTCAGCAAGGGGACCTGCACATTTAGCAATCTTCTGTAAGGTATTTATACAGGTTTCGTTTCGCCTGTCGCTAAGTCTTGTGCAATTAGCCAATTGGAGAGCTTCGTCGTATGAGTGGCCAGGAAAGATAATGCGCATGGCACGCTTTTGTACTCTTTCCAGTTCGTCAGACAGATAGCGGGATATCGCGTAATTCTACACCTCACAACAGTATTCCAAAATAGAACGAATAAGCGCGAAGTATATCTTGGTAAGATCAGCAGGAGGGACACCACCGCGGCATAATACTCGAAGACCGTATAACCGTTTGGAGGCCCTGGTGACGATTGATCGAATTTGCTCGTCCCATTTACAGTCAATTTCAGCTGACTTTTTATCGTAAGATTCCGAACTTCGTTCCGAACTTCGCAAATTCGTTGCCAGTAAATTGCAATAAGTTGCAAATTCGTTGACATAATAATGATGCCCCCTGGATGTCCGACAAACTTAAACGTTCGATTAAGAATCGGCAGCGAGCTTTACAATCAGGGAACAGTATTGAATTTAAATATTATCGCAATGTAGTTAACATGGAACGAAAGAAATGCAAGTCCTCCTACTATGATTGCAAGATTAAAAACCTGAAACATGTTAAGCCTAGGAACTGGTGGAGTGCAGTTAAAAAAATAAGTGGAATGGATACAATCACCAAATCTGATCTTCGCTCCAATTTACAAATTGATGACCTCGATAACTTAAGTGATATCGAGGTTGCAAATAAAATTAATGACAAATTTCTGGAACCACTCCAAGAGTTTCAACCGTTGCAAATCACAGTACCAAACAACGACTCCATTTCAAATGTCCTCACAGTGTCTGAACTGGACGTCTGGAATTGTTTAAACTCACTCAATCCCTGGAAGTCAGGTGGGCCTGATAATATCCCGTCTTGGGTTCTTAAAGAATATGCAATGATTTTGTCATTACCAGTGATGAAAATCATAAACAGTTTCTACACTGAAAACAAACTACCCCCAATTTGGAAGCAAGCAAATATCATCCCAGTCCCAAAGGTGACGCCAGCTCATGACATTAACCAACATCTTAGACCCATTTCGTTAACTCCTCTACTTTCTAAAGTCGCCGAGGAATTCGTGGTTATTAAGCATTTAAAACCCGCAATCCTTAAAGTTTTAGATGTAAATCAATATGGTGTTATTCCCGGCTCGTCCACAAACCAGGCGCTTATTAAAATGATTCATAAATGGTCGGAGAAAACAGACGGTGCTAGAGCCTCAGTAAGGATTGTTTTGGTTGATTACCAAAAAGCTTTCGGTCATGTAGACCACACCATCGTCCTATCTAAACTGAAATCCCTCGAAATCCCTGATTCCACTGTTAGTTGGATTGCAGATTTCCTGAGTGACAGACAACAACGAACCAAATTGGGACACGACTGTTTTTCGGAGTGGAGAATGTCCCAGCTGGTGTCCCTCAAGGAACCAAGCTGGGTCCGTGGTTATTTATATTGATGATAAACGATCTAAAAACATGTTGTTTAGACGAGGTAAAATTCGTAGACGATCTAACGGTATATGAAACAGTAACCAGATTTGGTTCAAGTGCATGATATCCAACAGCAGTGTCCGAAATTGAAGAGTGGTCCGAGTCAAACCTTTTCAGATTGAATGAAAACAAATGCAAAGAATTGCGGATAGACTTTGCGAAAAATAGAAATCCCTTTCTTCCTATTAAAATTAATGGTAAACCTTTACAAGTGGTGGAAGAAGCAAAATTAATGGGTCTTACTATCGCGAACAATTTGAAGTGGAATAGTCATGTCAATAACATAGTGACAAAAAGTTCCAAAAGGATTTACCTTTTAGTGCAGCTGAAGCGAGCAAAAGTCGCGATTCAAGATGTTTTACAATTCTATACCGTATGTATCCGCCCCATTCTGGAATACGCTTCCACTGTTTTCCACTACTCTTTACCTAAATACTTGAGTGATGAAATTGAACGAGTACAAAAACGGGTTCTTCGAATTGTATATCCGAACTTACATTACGAAGATGCATTGATGGAAGCTGGGATGGAGTAATTGTACGCTAGAAGACAAATTGCCTGCAATAAACTTTTTAATCAAATTTTAAATAACCCGAACCATAAACTTCATAATTTAATCCCTAAAATAGATACTTCATTAAATTACCAATTACGAAACAACAAGAAGATACATGTTCCGAAATTCTATACTGAACGTTTTAAGAATTCGTATGTCATCGCTAGTTGTTTAGACATAAATAATCGTAATTCAACAAATTAGTAATTCAACACATTAGCAACGGTTTTTATGCCGCGTCCGCGTCGTAGATTTGCATTGGTGCATCCTAAGCTCGCTATTGATAGACATACTGTAGCATGCATATATACGCTCTGACTAACCACAGTGAACTCACTGACTGTTTCCTGACAGTGTTATACACATTGTCTCATCTTAATCAAATTTCGCTATTGTGCATTGTTCATCATTGGTATATAGCCTATATAATGAATTTGCCGCGAAGTCTAGAAACGATGGTATATGCATCTAAAGGAATCCAAGTGTAAAGAACTTCGCATTAGCTTTTCAACTACAAATGTCGAATTGAGGAATTCGAACCTATTATTATTGTCAACAACAAAGAAATTGAAATGGTCCCATCTGCAACACTGTTAGGCCTATCCATATCCAACGATTTTAAATGGAACACACATGTTGAGAATGCATGCAAAAAAGTCTTATCTCGCTTATACTTTTTGAGAAAATTGAAACGAGCCAAATTACCATCAAATGACCTCCTTTTGTTTTATGTCACTTGCATCCGGCCGGTTGCTGAATACGCGTGTGAAGTGTTCCATGACTCTCTTCCTAAATATATGTCCGATGACCTCGAGAAACTACAAAAAAGGGCATGCAGAATAATTCTTCCTGGACACTCCTACGAAAATGCACTTAGATAGATAGATAGATAAATAGAACTTTTTATTTAAACGTGTACAATAATACAATTACAAAGATATAGTATATTATAGTAAGATATTACATACAGTAAGAAATATATATATATATATATATATATATATATATATATATATATATATATATATATATATATATATATATATATATAAGAATAATAATGCTATTCAAAAATGTGAGTATTCAAAAATGTGAGTAGCGATTTTAGTTTCAAAGGACATGATGGAGTTGCTAACTCTAATTTCGGTTGGTAAAGAATTCCAAATGTGTGCCCCGTCAAACATGAAACTTTTTTTCAAGCTATTTGTACGCGGCTGTGATAAGCAAAGGGTACTTTCAACATCTCGAAGTTTATAATTTGTCATTTCACTTTTGAAAGTAAATAAATCAGTAAGTGATTTAGGACCCATTTTATTCAACAATTTAAACATCAGTTTGGACTTAACCTTCATTCTTTCCGTTTTAAGTGGCTTCCAGTCTAAAGCATCTAAAGCAACCAGATGATCTACATCATTAAGTTGCTCATATTCATTATGATCCAGTCTAAAGCATCTAAAGCAACCAGATGATATACATCATTAATTGCTCATATATATTCATTATGATTCGAGCAGCTCTGTTTTGGAGCTTTTGGAGGCGTTTTGATTGTGTTTCACCAAACACATCCCATACTTCACAGCAATATGTAAAGTATGGGCGAACAATAGAATTATACACAGAGACAAGTGTATCTTTCTCAACAAATTCTTTTATTTGACGAAGAGCTGATATCCCGGATGTTATTTTCTTGCAAATGTTTTCAGTATTATTCTTCCAAGACAAATACTGGTCAACAGTCACTTCAAGAGTTTTGCAATCATATACTTGTTCAATTGGTTTGTTTTCTATGATAATGTTTGCTTGTTTATTTGAGACACTTTTTATCATTGGTTTAGATCCAATTAATATAAATTCAGTTTTGGCCACATTTAAACTTAGCGGTTTATTGGCAATTAACCATTTCCTAAGGTTTTCTAAATCAGAATTCATTGCAGCTTCAACATCATTTATAGACTCTCCCGCAGCTGTTAGGTTTGTATCATCAGCAAACAGTCCAGGCTGGCAAAACAGAAATTGGTCTGTAGTTACCAGGCAAATGTTTTTGGCCATTTTTGTAAAGATGTGATACTCTTGCCATTTTCCATTCAGCAGGAAAAGTGCATAGTGTAATAGGCTGATTAAAAATATAAGTTAATGAACTAGAGATAGCAGGTGCTGCTAGTTTTAAAATTTTACTTCAAATTTTGTCAATGCCAGTGGCTTTTGCACTAGAGAGGCCACGTAGGAGATAATAAACTTTGTTGGTGGTAATTGACTCAAATGCAGTGAATTCTGATTTAGGTTTCTTAATATACTCTTGAAAATTGTAATTCGAAGTATCAATTTTGCTAGCTAAGTCAGGCCCAATATTTGAAAAGAATTCGTTAAAGCCCTCTGCAATGTCTTCTGAATTTGTTAAATTATTTCCACTTATACTTAACTCATTTACTTTTGTTGGTTTGTTTTGTCTGCCTAGTAAGTTGTTTATTGTTTTCCAAGCCTCCTTTGGATTTTGTTTTTGACCAGCAATTCTCTTGGAGTAATAATCCTTTTTGGCTTTTTTCATTTCTATATTTACTTTATTTCTGGTTTGTTTATACACTAACCAATCTGCTTCAAGGTTTTTAATAATGGCTTTTCTCTTAGATATATCCATCCCTCTTATTTATAAGCTTTTTGACTTCACTAGTAATCCAAGAGACTATTTTTATCTGATCTTTTTTTGTTGAATGGGTGCATGCTTATTTAGTACTTCCTCAAACAATTTCTTCCAAATCTCCCACATAGTGTTTGGATTATCAGCGAAGACGTATACGTATTCCCAATGCTGATTAAGTAAATCTTCAACAAATTTTTTGTCATCAAAGTTTTTCATATTTCTAATTTCCACTATGTTTTCATCTTGTTTCTTAGAAATATGGATTTTTCCGATGGTAAATACCAAACTATGATCACTGATTCCTGTATGAATGACACCATAATCTGAGATTTTCTTTGGTGTATTAGTAACTATATGATCAATGAGGCTGGAGGTTGTCATGGTTACCCGAGTAGCTTCCTTAATTAATTGTGACAATTGATATAGTTCATATAGTGATTTCATTTTCTTGGTTGGTGTATCGGATTCTGTTTTAAGCATGTCACAATTTAAATCACCAAGAATATACATTTCTTTATTTTCATCAACAATCGCTTTTACTAATTTTTCAAAATATTCAAAAAAATCATGTGATGAATTTGGTGGTCGATAAATAGTTGTAACCAAAAATGGCCGACTATGTGGCTTACTAATTTCTACACAAACGGCCTCCAATTCAGAGGGAATAAGATCATTTCTTATTTTATAGTTGATTGAGCTACGTAAGTATATACAAACTCCACCCCCATTTCTTGATCGGTCTTTTCTAACAATGTCATAGCCATCAAGGTGAATCATATTATCAGAAATATTTGAATCAAGTCGGGTCTCACTAAAACCAGTCAGGTCAATGTGTTCGTTGGACATTGAGTAACGTATTTCATCAATCTTTTTTGGCAAACTGACAATATTTAGGAAAGCCATCTTAAAACCTCTTTCATTGGGAATAGAATTAAGGCTAGTGAAAAATCGCTACCCACATTTTCATTTGACGGATCTATATTAATTATTTTCTCAGTACTTGACTGACATGTTTTAGATAATTTGTCCGCTCTTTCATGCGTTGTCCAGCTAGTCGAAAAAAGGCTGACCATTTGTAGTCGGTACTGGCCTTGTATTACTAGCTCTATTTGATTTGAAGAAAGTGCAAAAGGCACTCCCTAGTGCTCTATCTCCTACTTTGTTCAAATGTAAATTTGAGCGATTCAAAAGAGATTTGTCCATATCATCATTGTCGATATAGTGAATGTTGTGCTTTAAACATATAACACGCCCTACTATAGGGTCCAATATTCTATTTAGTCAAAAATGGTGCCAATTTTCCTATTTTTAAACAAATTTGTACAAAACTGAAAAACACAGAAAAATTGGTGCTTTTAAAAACACCTTTTGTGCAAAAAAAAAAGAAAGAATGCAAATTTTCTTCCCTTGCCAAAACAGCCACTTTACCTAAAATTAACAATATATTTTATGGACTGTTCTGAAGAGGATCAAATAATGCAAAAGTAGCATGACAGCTAACAGTGAAAATATGTTGGTTTAACCAAAGGCATCTCTGATCAATTTATGGAATCAATATCAATGTTTCGATTTATCGAGACCATGCGATTGTTTCGATTTATCGAGATCAAGTCAATGTTTCGATTTATCGAGACAATGTCAATGTTTCGATTTATCGAAGACCGTGTCAATGTTTCGATTTATCAAGATTATGCCAATGTTTCGATTTATCGAGACCAAGTCAGTGTTTCGATAAATCGAAACCATCTTAGTGCATGGCATCTAACATAACCTAAATCAACACAGTTTAGCAAAAAAATATATAATATTCTATTCAACTTAGCATTATACACATAAGTAGAAAATATATAAAGCACAATGTATTTAGGTGAAAACTATTATGCTCAATATCAAAATGATACATATCTAAATGAATTCACAAACAAACTATTAAATAAGACTCACCCCTTAATGAAATATAACCTTATATGCTATTAGATAGAGTAATATGATAAAAGGGCAGTAGGTTAGTAGGGCACATTTAAGTTTAATTTGTACTGTATAACGCTCCTCAAAATGTAAGACTGCGAAGCTGGATGAATGTAAAATATCATATTTATTACCATTTAAACTGCAAATGGTAATGTAAATTAGTTGTGCCGAGCTCTGCACTTATTACATTACTCTGTCCAGTACAAGGTGACTTTACAGTGTTCTTTCCCTATATAAACATAACTAATATGTTCTTCAACAATGAGTTCATCGTCTAGCATGTAGTTTCAGCATGTATTTTCTTTTCCTTATGCAAGTCAAAGACTACAAGAAATATACAAGCTGGCAAACATCTACCCAAGGTTCACTTTTATCAGCCAATGAAAAGACCATTTCTTGCTGATGATTTTTTTCCGATAATGAATCTTGAATGAAGATCATCTAGCGTCACCAATGACTGGTTTGTTATATATAGCCACCTAAATTTGAAAAAGATAAGATAAGATAAGATTTAATTATGCCTCTCTGGGCAACTCATGCATCTAAGAAAATTACAGAAATATAAATCTTACAGTAATATATAGTACAATTATTAAAAATTAGAAACAAGAAATATGTCTTCGCATAGCAACCTCTGGATGCAATTTAAGATAAGTAACATGGTCATTCTTATCCGGAATTCTGTTAAAGATTTCTTGCGATAAATACCAATATCCGTGACGAGAATCCGGGTTATAACTTTTTAGATCATCAAGTCCTGCCTTAAAGGCGTTTACACTAGGTGCATACTTAACAGAGTTTGGTAAATTGTTCCAAAACTTAATTACTCTTACGCTAAAACAATCTAACGCAAATCTGGTCCTACAGGATGATACATTGCATAAATTACGAGTACTATAATGCAAATTATGGTTAAACATTTGATGGCCATAGTTAACATGTCCGTTAATAATCTTGTATGCTTCAATAAGATCACCCCGTATTCTACGTTCGAGAAGTGTTGTCAGTCCCAGCTTTTGAAGTCTCTCACTATAGCTGAGAAAACCCATACCATGAATTATTCTAGTAAAATCCCTTTGACATTTTTCAATTGCCATAATTATACCCCAATTACCATGCTTTGCTACCGGGGACCAAACTTGCACACAATACTCCAGATGGGGCCTCACAAAGGCATTGTAAAGAGGAACCAACACTTCATGTTTACGAGATACAACATTTCTTATTACCAGGCAATCATCCTCTTGGCCTTTCCGATTCCTTCTCGAATATGATCATCAAATAAGGACTTCCCGGCAGACCAGGTTACCCCCAAATCCTTTTCTTTCTGTACACTTTTTAGTTGAATACCATCCAATGTATAGCCATGTTGCGGATTGCTCTCTCCGATGTGAAGTACACCACACTTTTCCACATTAAATTTCATCTGCCATATTTCTGACCACCTACTGAGACAGTCAATGTCTGTTTGAATATCTTCCGGATAATATGCATTACCAATAACTTTGGAATCATCAGCGAAAAGCACAGTATTAAATTTAGTAACTTGTGGCATATCATTAATAAATAATATAAATAACAAGGGTCCCAAAACAGACCCTTGGGGAAATCCAGAAGTAACAGGCTCCCATGATGAAATATGATCTCCCACACGTACTGCCATTGATCTACCTGTCAGGAAGTTCCTTATAATGTCATGAACCTGCCCAGTAATTCCGTAACTTTCTAACTTTAACAACAATCTTTCGTGTGCAACCTTATCAAAAGCTTTTTGAAAATCCAAATATATAAGATCAACAGGATCTTCACTATCCAAAAACGTGATAATATATTGTAGTGATTCCAACAAGTTAGAGAGACAAGACTTCCCTTCCATAAACCCATGCTGATTCCGACTAATAAATCCCTTAACATGACTGTACAGATGTTTAAACAAAAGCTTTTCATACACTTTACATAGAATGCAAGTTAGAGAAATTGGTCGATAATTTCCAGCATCACTAAATGCCCCCATTTTATGTAAAAAATTTTATGTAAAAAATCTTATGGAAAAAGCAACAGATTGCTCATCAACATAATCCTGAGTAAAATTGATATTATTAATGAATGATGATTATGGATCAAATTAGACACATTTATAACAGTGCCTTATACCCTGGCCTACAGTAGTTGCAGTTAGCTTTTTCTTAATGATGCTATGCCTATTGATAGAACACCGATAATTCTCACAATGCTTTCATTAAAATGACAATTCCCAGTCTCTCATTTCAACAAATCTGGGATCTGACCAATGGCGCTTTCCATTAACATGGCCAAACCGGTCAGAACAGTCAAATTCTTGAATGAAACACAAAACATTTGGGCTTCGGACCTATCTAACCAGAAAATTTTGATAACATTAGAATAAGGTCCATTTTCGCTAGACATTTGAGAAACATAGACCAGATCTTTCCTTTGATACTGAGAAAAGTATTCAGGTCTGACCGGTCAGGCCATTGAATGGAAAGCGCCCCAAGTGGTCTAATAGTTTGTGCTTGATTACATGAACAAAATGTAATTTTCTATGCTAATATTATTATGGCTCATTTGAACAGAGGCCATACTGAATGAGGTTAAAATTACCAAGGTACATATTTGAAGCTGCATGTAGGGATCGCCCTTCAGTGCTCTAACCCCACTCATCCATTGGCAATGTTTGGATGTGAAAAGCCTATTCTTAGACCATGTACAAACACCTTCAACATTCATAATTCGATATTTAATAAGTTCAATGACTTCAATCAAGTGAGATGTCCAAACAAATCCTGTTATATTAAAATATTATACACAATCAGAAAGCTTTCAAGCGAAGAAAAAATTTTGACTTTGTAAGAAATAAATCAGTTGCAGAGCTGCCAAAATCCTTTGAAATTGTTAACTCAAGACGACATTTTTCTCATGTATTTTTATATAAAACTCACCTCGCTATTCAAACGAAATCGAACTTTCTAAGTACGCATGGAAGCTAAAACAAGGTAACCGACCGTATACTATATAAAGTGGTCGGCTTTGTCGCATGCATCAGGCTATACGGCAAGTGCAAATTCTTGCAACCTTTGATTAGAGGAGAAGTTTTATTTAATGAAATCGCACAAAGATAGAACGTTGAACAAACGAACAGAACTATTTTCAAAATGCCGCCACAGAAACTCATTTAGCGTGCGGAATTTTAAACGCACGCGCATGATGCAATCTCGTCAGCGGACCGTTGAATTAATTGCGCATGCAAGCAAACTATACATGTGTACAATTACATAACTCAATATATATATATATATATATATATATATATATATATATATATATATATATATATATATATATATATATATATATATATATATATATGAATGTATATAATATGTATTATGTATGTATATATATTTGGTTATATGATCTTATAATTCCTGTTTTCGCTCTACAGGTATATCATGGAAGGGCAAGTTCAGGCCTAGGCCTAGCACCCGTCTCATTGGGGAATGGAAGTTGGTAAATTGCGCTGTTGATACATCAGATAACGCGACTCTATCATTTGCCGGAGGGGGAAGCATCGTACCGGACAAGAAAAAGATAAAAATGGAAGCCACGAATGTATTCAATATAACAAACCTAACTTTGGATGATCAAGGAAAGTACACCTGCAAAGTTTGCAACAAAGAAAGGACCACACGCTTATACATTCATGGAGGTAAAACATTAACTACAATATTGCATGGTTACCTATTGTGAAACTATAGAGTAGATGTGATTAGCATGATACTGTAATATACGCCCTTCTGGAACTCCAAATTCACTCAACTGCTCGTGGCAAAATGAACATTATTTATCATAACCCCACATGGCTATTAGAGTCGTAATATATTAGAATCGAAGTATCGAACATTATACAATACAAATCTCATCCACCATGCAACTACACCCAGATAAAGGAATTCAAAGCAATGCGGAGTGCAAACTTAAATATCGTGACAATCGTCTATTATATTGGTATGGGGTGCACGTAGAGCTGAACGCTGGACCCTGAACTAGACCAAACCTATTTTTATAGTGAATAACATGTATATATGTATGTTAATTTGCCAAGAAATACTTTAATTCTTCTATATATAATAACTTTAAGTCTTCTGTGGCAAAGATAAATTGGAAAATAACTAGGGGTCGGTATAGTTGTTTAATTAATGATGAAATTGTGATTCTTGAATCTCGTTTAGGAATTAATGCTTATTTAAAAGCTTTCGTAATAAAGGAACCAGATGAAACACTGTACGATATTAATAGCAAAGTGAAATTAATATGCACATTTGGCAAGAACAAACAAAAAAGAAGCAAGGACTACTTTGAACTAGCATGGTACAAACTTGCTTCAGATGGACAAAGAGAACCGAAACCACTTAAGGTCCAAAAACTTGAGGAGGGGCTACATCTTTTGCTTGGTCCACTGACCCAGGAATCAGAGGGAACTTACGAGTGTGCAGTAACACGACCTAAAGTCAACCATTACGATTTTAAATTGGTTAGGATAAAGCTTAAAGGTAGGCCTAATGTGTAAAATAATATTATTTATAATAAATCTTTATACAAACATCGCTGGAACCAATTAATAACAATTTGCATGCACGCATGCTTGAACTGAGCCGGTTGAGATTTAAGTCCGACGAACGTCCAGTTAATAAAATGTCTTATATTATAACTGACATGTCTCATGTTATTGAAATGACTAATTTTCCTTATTTATCGATAAAATTATGATTAGATATTTCTAGTTAGTCAATATGGTGCACCCACGAAAAACGAACATCGAGACTTGGGCTAGATTTAACTCATCAATACCTGCTGCAGCTTCTTGCGGCAATGCTATATTCTCGTGGTGGAGACATTTTCACTCGGTCACTCGTACACGACCAAATTAAAGGGAGGCATTTCATTGGCTCTTCGTATAATTGCTATTTATACCAAAGGTTGAGCAGTTTTCGCTGGAAAAATTACTCTTACTATCGTCATGTTATGTCAACACAAATACTTCGATTTCATAGTCTGTAAAGTTCGCACGGACCCATGAGGCCCTGAGAAGCAGGGGGAAACAAAACGATGCTATTGAATAATTGCTTCTATAATTATACCAAAAATTCATTGTGTACAAGTGTGCATAAGCATATGGAAAAGAATGCATGAACAAAGAATTTAGCCGAGCTTCCAGACCACATCGTGATTGACTTCACTCTCTCTATATATGAATGTTTCAGTTAGTCTGTTACTAAAAATCTACCCGATAATTTTTTTATGTAGATCGTTTCACACCCAAAATTCATGTCCTAAATTACAATCCTGTGTTTGTTGGAAAAGAAACAGAAAATTTTTCATTATCGTACAACGTATCATCTCACACAGCGTGTAACATTACATGGTGGAAATCTAAAGATGGATTAAAGTATCAGTTGATAACTCGGTGTTTGGTGACTGCCCAAAGGTGCGAAAAACCAGACAAAGGGAACGAGAATATTACGAAAACAAGTTTTGAAATTAAAGACCTCAAATTTCCTCAAGATAACCTGTTCTACAAATTGGTTGCAGCAAACGACAAAGGGAACAATTCGAAAACTTTCCAAATACAAGTCCTAGGTAAGGCGAATGAATGTCCAAATAGCAAATTTTAACGACCCGTTTTAAAAACGAAAACAACTGAAATGTTTGTAATTATAGAAAAAAGGTACGTGTCATATGCTCTCTTCATCTTGACTCAGCGGTAATATTAATAAGTGAGTACCGGCAATCCCATGTTCTATTAGGGACCGGTCATTATTTATGGCGGGGGTGGCACCGAAGAGAAATGTTTTTCGTGTCAAGTATTTTGGTGACCCAACTACTAAATTAAAAAGTAAAAAAATTGATTACCCAACCTCAAATATCAATTAAAAAATAAATACCCACTCCTGGCCAAAAACTTTGCGAAAAAATACCATTCAGTTGTCACAAATGTCCTACCACTTCTGTGACATGAATTTTCATGTTGTCTGCACACGTACTTTCTTCGGGGACACCTGTAATATAAGCGAATCAGACAACAACGATACAAAACCAAACTTTTCTATTACTCTTTTACACACTAGAATATCACACAATAATAATTCTAATGTCCCTGTCTCATATTACTCACGTCCTAACACCTTGCCAATCACCCCTGTGTCACTTAATACCTATTAATTATTATAGTCATACATGTTACACTATCCTCTCTCTAATTGAGAGCGTCCTCGATCTCTACCTCATCTAGGTTATAGTCCTGATATCTGTCCGGTTGTCTACGCTGACGGGTGGACCTTCGTAGCATGTTAGTCCCCTCTTGCTGGGCAGGCTGCACGACTAAATTCTCTGGATGATGAATCGTCGGTTCGTTGGTCTGCAATGCGGTATATTGGGTTTCTTTCGGGGAGCACGTTGATATGCCTTCTTCCACTCTTAGTCGGCAAAGGGCTGATTTCAGACGATTGCGGTGGACCACTTTAGGTTTCCGATTTCCTGATTCGGGCTTAATGTGGTAATTCGTGCCACCAAGACGGTTTAGGACCATGTAAGGCCCGGGCCACTGCAGGTGGAACTTTCGACTAAGCCCTTTTGGAACCGCTGTGTCGTTGAGCCAAACCCGTTCTCCAACCTTAAACGGCGTGCTTTTGTCAATGTTGTTGCGATCATCGTATCCCTTTTTCTGCTTCCTCTGTGCCTCAATAATCTTTTCTTTCACAAAGCGTGGCACGTCCTTCAGGGACTTTTCTGACTCATCGCAGTAGTTAGAGATAAACTGTTCCTTTGCCTCTGTCTGGGTGCCCATCAGCACTAACGGTGTGCTGGCTTCACGACCATAAACCGCTCTAAATGGCGAAACTCCTGACGATGAATGTACGCTGTTGCTGTATTCAAACAAGGCGAGAGGTAAATGAACGTCCCAATCAATGTGGTCTTTATTCACGTACGCTGTAAGGATTCCCTTCAAGGTCCGGTTTAATCTTTCGACCTGCCCATCAGTTTGTGGGTGATACGGCGAAGTTCGCAATTTTTCCACCCCAAGAAGATGGAACACCTGCCGCATGAGCTCTGCTTCGAAGTTCCTCCCTTGATCTGTTAGAATTTACGAGGAACACCGTGTCGAGTCACAACTTCGTCAACAAAAGCTTTCGCTACGGTATCGACTCTTTGGTTAGCTAGCGGCACCGCCTCTACCCACTTGGTAAAGTGGTCAGACATCACCAAGATGTATTGATTTCCCCGTGCAGTTAGAGGAAGTGGGCCCAAGATATCCATTACCCATAATTCCATTGGGTGACCAACCTTTATGCTTTTCATGGGTGATTTACGGGATGACACAGGAGACTTACGGCGGTTGCACATTTCACATTCTGCGATCCACAGTTGCACTTCTGAGGCCATTCCAGGCCAGTAATAATGTTGTTGCAGACGCTCAACGCAACGATTAACTGCCATATGCCCGGAACTAGGGTCGTTGTGGGAAAGCTTCATAAGATCGGGACGCATTCTACGTGGGACTACCCACACCAACCGCTCTGTGGGTGTGCCTTTATCCACACAATGATGTAGGATACAGTTTCTCATTTCCATTCCAACCATCCTCGTCTTCCTTTGGTGCTGTGTTAGTGCAACGTAGCTTCTGCACTACCAAAAAAATGCTTGGATCGTGCTGTTGCGCCTTGATTATCTCTTCTTTCGACCACGATGCATTCACTTCCGTGGCTGCTACTCCGACCATCAGGTCCTCATCGGGGCTCCAATCCGGAACAAGAGCGAGTGACCCTCGAGGGAACCTGGAAAGTGTATCTGCATTGTCGTGCTGTTTCCCCGGCCGATGTTTATTTTCGTATTCCTGCAAGGCGAGTATCCACCGAGCAAGACGGCCTTTAGGTTCCTTTAGCCCCTGCAACCATGTCAAACTTTGGTGGTCCGTCACAATGTCGAACGCTTTACCGAGCAAATATGGCCGCCAATAGTTCACTGTCCATACGATGGCCAAACACTCTTTCTCTGTCGTCGAGTAATTTCTTTCTGCTGGCGTCAGTGTTGGACTGGCGTACGCGATCACACATTCATGATCACCTCTTCGTTGCGACAAGACGGCACCGAGTCCGTAATCGCTGGCATCCGTATATACAATGAAAGGAACTGAAAAGTCCTAGGATTGGCGTTGTAAGATAGGATTGGCGCTGTACACAGGCGGTTCTTAAGCTCATTGAACGACTTGTCCGCTAACGGCGTCCAGTTGAACTCTGGCTGACTACCTTTAGTCATGTCATGCAAGGGCGCATAGCGCTGCCCGTGAAATTCTTTATAAAGCTTCGATAGTAAGATGCCATACCGATGAATGCACGAACATCGGTAAGGGAAGATGGAGTTGCAAAGTCTCGCACCGCCTCGACCTTCGATGGATCCGGCTCAGTCCCTCACGCCGATACGATATGGCCAAGAAACTTAACTGACTCCTGCGCGAGCTGGCACTTTTCCCGCTTTACTTTCAACCCAGCAGCGTGAATACGACTAAATACTTCTTTCAAAATTAGCTGGTGTTCCTCCCACGTCTCGGAAAAGATGATTATGTCGTCGATGAAAACAAGGCACCCCTTTATCCCCTTCAAGCCGTTCCCCATCATGCGCTGAAACGTGGCGGAAGCGTTGGTTAAACCGAAAGGCATCACCGTGAATTCGTAGTGGTCTACTCCCACCGAAAATGCAGTCTTCTCCCTATCTTCCTCTCTTCTCTGCCAATACCCGGAAGCGAGATCTAGGGTACTGAAGTAATGTGCACCCCCAACTGGTCTAGAATGTCGTCGATACGGGGCATTGGCTGAGCGTCCTTCTTTGTTACGGAATTAACACGTCGAAAGTCAACGCAAAACCGGTAATCACCGTCTTT